TTTTTTTTTTTTTTTTTTTTTTTTGAAGATCACACAGGGAGTCCTAAATCCCAGGAGCAACCTGGAGCTGCCTTTGCTATTCCTAGCAACGTTGTATGAGCCACTGAAATCTAAGGGTGCAGTGGAAAGCACCATCTGGATAAAACTCACCCGGACTAGTCCTGCCCTATCTCCTGGCTTTCTGTAATATGCAGTAAAATGTACGGCCTGCAGGAGACTGCAGATTCTAATTCAGAGTGATCCTAGCTACTTCTCCTCCTCAGCTTTGCCAAGACATCCATCCCTGCTGGGGAGAGACAGCCAAGCTTGGAATTTCTTTTTATTCTTTGCATGATCAAAGTAGTCAAATTACATTCTGTTGGAACATTACATATTAGCATAGCATAACATCACTTTCCACGCAACTACTTCATTATCCATCCAAACGGGAACCTGGCACTGCTTTCTGTATTCAAGTTTTTTGGATCAGTTATTATATTTGTTGTTGATCCAGAAAAAGGCAGCTTTAATCTGGCCTCTCTCTCTATTGGTGCTTTTCCTTAAAAACACAAAGTTTTGTTTGATATTTAAACAATCATTTAAGTAGCAAATCCCTGCATCCTCTGCTCTTGCCAAACCTTGGTAGGCAGGATTTCTCTGGCTTTGCTTGTTGCAGCAGATAATGCAAAATAATGGCCTGTAAGAGCACCCAGCAAGGTGTATCCTGAGGAGCAGATGGATTTCTTCAGTCCTTCACTGGGAAACATTACTTAGAAGCATGTGGTGACTCTAATGCAGCAAATGTGTTTAATTCTTTGCATATACTACATACGCAAGGAAAGGATCTTCCATGGACTCTTGTCTAGCATCAAAATTTGCTGACTTTTCCTACAGGAATCTGTGTGTTTCTTAGTCCAATAAAGGACTGTTGTTTAATGTTCCAACCAAACCTTACTAGTAATTGTGGGTTCGAGGCAGGAGCATCAAGCTACAGCTAAGTCATGCATCGATTTTAGGTGTTGGAAGTGGGGTTTTTTGTTTGTTTGTTTATTTGCTTGATTTTTAGCCTGGTTTCCAAAGGAGTAGATTTCTATTGATCATAGTCTATGTCTGAATACACTGCTAGGTTTCTTTCAAATTTAGCAGGCAGGTAGAAATGTCAGCAATATCAAACTAAGCAACCACTCAAGAAAAAAAAAGAAGTTGCCATGTAATCTCAAGTAAATTATTATTTTATTGAATTAGTACAGAAAGCTAACAGGGGAGACCACTCCCGCTGCAGGAGATGCTTTGATTTGGCTTTGTGTATTTTAACCAGGGATGAGCCCAACCCTGAGCCATGGAGCCAAGGGAAACAAGGCTTTGTAGCTCCTGTTGCTAATAGATTTGCTTCTTAAATGCTTTTTTAACCTCACCTTCAGATCTGCATGTCAGCTCTTATTAAAAACATACAAAGATGTTTTTTTCCATTAAACATTGTACAATTGTCTTGGGAGATAGGTTTCCAGTATTTTCTTTACTCATAGTTCTTAAACACAAAAAGGAAAAGGAACTTGGGGGCAGAGGGCACAGACGCTTCCTTGCAGCAGATAGGATGGTGATCTGAAAGCATCAGATGTGGGACAGAGGCAGACCCAAACTTACCAGATACAGATGGCAGGGTGATGTCTCCATGATCTCAGAACTCTGATTGCAACTTATGCTTTCAACATCAAAGTTTTGGCCTATAATAGTCCTCCGAGTGCTGATAAAACAGTAAACTTCTGCTAGGTGTCAGGCTTGTTGTATGGCAGGAAATACTCAGGGGGCTTTTTTTCACCCCTGTGCTTTCAGTAGACCAAGCTTATCAACTAAGTAGGAGTGCCTATCGCTTCTGGGAGAAGGTGCTGGAGCTGAACCACACCTTCAGGTCAGGAGCTCTCCAGCTATGCACAAGCATTTGCTCCCTAAACGCGAAGAAAGATTTCAATATGAAGCCAAAATATCACACAGGCTGTAGGCAGCATCACCTAACGGAATGAAGACTGATATTCTCTTCATACTTTTCTGATGGAAAATATTTCATCGGTCATTCATGCCTGCTGAAGATGAGAAGAAATTCTATTCAAGTTCTGGTATATATTCACTTAGTTATCAGAGCACCTCATCTCCTTGATCTTTCTTTATGGAGGAGAAAATTACTATTTTTGCCACTTTCCAAATGAGAGGAGTGAGACAGAGAAAACTAAATCTGTTGAAATGAGTTAGGAAAGAGGCACACAATGCAGTTCTCCAAATTCTCCCCAGATGTTCAGCTCTCCGTGGCACCAAGCATTAAAGAAATTTCTATGCCTTCTATCCAAATCTTTGCAAACCCAAATCCCTCAATTGTCTAGCACTAAATCATCCACCCATGCTTCCAGAAGGAATATGAAGCGTCACAGGGAACTGATCCTTGTTCAACGACAGGAACATTATTGAGTGGCTGGCCTTTTCTTCTCTTGTGTGGTGCGTTCTAGACAGTTTGCCAGTTTGAACTGGGCATATTTTAGCTTCCCAGATCTTACTGAACACTCCTAAGCTTTAACTTGTTTAACCTTTCCAGGAAACTCCCTCCCACCAGAAGTCCAACTGGAGCTGCTTACTTAAATTGATCTTGCTAAAAACAGGAACTAAGCCTTAAAACCATTATTAATAAACAGTTTATTTTTTTAGTGAGGCATCCAATCTAAATTATAAATTATTGTCCATTTAATGAAAGACACTCACCTTCCAGCTGCTTCTCTAATCAGCCTGACCCAAAGCACACAAATCCAGTGGGTGCTTTTCCAGGAACATTGGGGTTTTTGGTGCAGGCGGAGCATTTCCAGAGCTCCATGCTTGTCACTCAGGGTGTTCCTGGGTCTCTGTTGTACCTCGGCACAGTGACAGCAGCACTGATTTGCCATTAGACGACTCTTCTCAGAAGGGGGATTTTAATCTATTGGATTACTTTTCTGAGCCATTTGGGGACAAGTACAGAAAGGAAAGTTTTGCAGAGCCGTAGTTTGTTTTTAGTTATTGCATCTTTGAAGATAACACTTAGCCACCTGCTCAGATGAGCCCTTGTATCGTCCTCGCAATGCTAAGGTTCAAAACCAAAGCTATACCTAGCAGAAGTGTGCTGGATCTGTGTAGTGTGTCTGTGAGTGAGATTTGCATCACAGTTTGAGGATTGCCATAAATTATGACAAGAATCCATAAGGACTGGCATGTTGGCTCTTTGGGATATTTTCTCACCTTCTCAATTTTTAACATTGCTAGCTCTTGCACTCAGCCAAGTTTGTTTGTTTGTTTATTTATTCTTCATGAACCCCATAAAGAGGAAACCTTTTTAGGTTGGGGAAAGCTGGAAGATAAGGATGAGAACGACCTTGGAGACTGTCTCCAGAGTTTCTGGTTGGCAGCCCTGTCTGACTGCTGCTCGCTGATTCTGGGGGCCCATTTTCAGGAGGCAGGTTCACTAAGTCTGAGCACTGTGTTTAAGGGTGCTACTGGGACAAGCAACTTGCTTTGCAGAGCGGCTCATTTCACGCCCTGAAGCAGGGCTGGAGCTGATGCCGTTTGGCTGAATCGGGGCCAGTGTTTGGATTTAGCTTCATTTTCTGCTATGGGCCTCCTGGCATGTCACAGAGCAAATCCAAGCGTGCCACTATGTGCACTCAGGCAGCAAAGTTAAGGGAGGGAGGAGAAAATTCCCCTCTTCTGCGGTTCATGGTGTTCTTCTAAACTATTTATAAATAGGTCTACTGCAGCCAGTGTTTGCATTTGGACTGGCTCGCTGTTCTCATTTTCAAGGCTTCTCTTAGATCTGAAAGTAAAGGTCGGGTTGACTCCCTTTATTTGAAATAAAGATGGGAAATAAGTTAACCCTACATTAAGGTGACTCGGGGCAGCAATTCTCACGGAGACAAACTGGTCCTCCCTCTCACATGCTGCAATGGCAGAAGTACTCAGACCATTTTCTCCTTTCCCTCCCCTCTCCATTAGCTGATGACAGTTTTAATTTCCTTCGTGCTTTTAAAGTGATTCCCATGCATGTCATCTGGGATTCATGAAGCAGAACTCTACAAGTTGCACACTTCTGGCCTGCACTCGCCACGAGCCCAGGACAAGTTTTCAGCTGAGTTCAAACTTCTCCCTCTGGCCTGCAAAGGAATAATATATGTCTCTTTTTTCCCCAAGGAAAAAAAAGAAATCCTTTCTCCAGGAAAAAAAAATCTATTTTTGTGAAGGATTACTTTTTGTTGATTGAGGTGTGCTTGGGGTTGACAGGCATGTGATCTCACAGTAAGACTTAAATTATGGTAAATCCTGTATTTATTTATTTTTTACTTCAATAGACTAGGACGTTATCCTGCCTTTAATGCATTCTGTGCTGACTTTAGCTGAATGCTCTGTGCCAAGGACATTAATATCTACCATTACTAGTGAAGGAACAGTACAGAGACACCAATCTCATATAAGAAGCCACCGAAAGTCTAGATGGGATTATGTGGCTTCTAGGATGCAGGGAATTGGGAGCAGCAGCCCGTTAAGCTGTCTTTAAATTGTACCACGTATGCATAAGAATCCTCTACTCCTGCGTGGTGCAAGTGAGGGACAGGTAAACAAGCTCTGCCGTGTCTCATTTTCCTGCTATGGGCATCCAAACGCTGGCAATAACCAAGGTCTCAGTGGATATTTCCTAAAGGTCTCAAACTATATCCATGTTAAGAAAGCAATGGTTTGAATAAGGTGTACAAGATTCACCTCTCACGCTGATTATTTTTTTTTTTTTTCAGATAACGAAGAGGATTTTTTGTTCCTATATCCACTGGCCATGGTTAGCAACCTTCTTTAGAATATCTCTGAATGAAATGATACATTTGCTTTGGGGTAGGTTGCTGAAAAACAGAGGATTTTAAAGTTTTGAGCATGCGGAATGTATGTGATTGTGCATTATGAACCCAAACAAAGAAGATTCACAAAATTCGAAATATTGTTTAATTCCTTAGAAGATTCACAAAACTCGAAATATAGTTTAATTCATTCTTTCAGGTTTTGAGCAGAAATATTTGCATAAAAGGAGGTGTGTTATCTCAGAAGGTCTTATTTCTATGGTTACTAATGCCATGCCACGAAGAACCAAACAGACTGTAACTCCCTGCTCTGCAGGAGTTATGAATTAAGGCTGGGATGACTGTCTCAACATGAAGTCCTTACCACAGAGACAGGTTCTCACTTTCAGAGTGGATTCTTAGCAAGAAGGCTGGAGGTCTGTTCAGCACTAGAGTACACTCATGCACATCTTTACTAATTGCATGTTATTTCACCCAAAAATTAAGTGCACAAGTGTAATTTCTTTCAGTGCAGAGGTACTAAAAGTTCACTGTGGCTGTTGTCTTTGCGTGTGCTCAACTGTCCTCTGTCCTTCACACGTCTGAGGCTGCCAGGGAAGTTTCAATGCAGAACTGTTGCTCTGGTAAACAGCTCTTCACCCTCTGTTTGGAAATCTAATTTTCTCCCCTTATTTGCTGTGGTAACAACTGCATGGCATTCCTGTCATGGTATTCCTTTACTAATTTTCCTGTGTTTTGCATTCTCACAATCTCACATTATCTTTGGTATACCAGCTATTCTTGTACAAGCTGTAATACTTGCAATAGATGATCCCAATGAACACTGCTAGGTGACATGAAATCCCTGCCCTGATAAGTCTATATTCCCCCAAACCTTTTATATTGACCTTTGCTAATTTGTTTGGTTATGCACAGGAAGGCTTTGATGTGTTTTACCACAAAAGCTATAGTAAAGTGAATTGCCAAAAAATGATTTACTTCTGAACTGTGATCTTTTGTCTAGAAAAGTGAGGTTTATGGCAAGCATTTGGGATGGGTTTCTGCACAGTATGTTTTCAGTTGTTTAGAGCCCGAGTTCAATGCCATAGGTTTTAGTCTTACCCATGACTAAAGAAAGCAAACATACAAAGCCCTATTCATGAGAACTATATCCGTATTCCTAGACTCTTTATTTATGACAAAAACAGTTAATTATTTTGATGTCTTGTCATTTCAAAATTAATTTTTTGCAGTTTTACTCTGGGTCGAGAAACAGGCCAATATATGTACTCATAAAGACCTTAAAGTTGAGTTAAGTTATATTTCTTTTATTTTCATTGATTAAATGTCGCACACTAAATAACTCCCATACCTATTAACATATGATTTGCCCACTAGTAATTAATTTGTCATCCTTACTTCCTCAGGCTATTTTCAACTTTAAGCCACAGTTAATCCATGACCTTAGTGCTTTTGTCTGCAGGTCTGAATTATATAAGTATTATGGAACAGGGATTGAAGTGTACCTCTTTTGGCTCTATTTTATAATTATAGTCAGCTGATTGGCTTTTCTATTTCCATTAACTACAATAACAGAGTAAATTTAGCTCCTTTATGAAAGATCATAAGAATTTTTTGCAGCATGGTAAGGCCGAGTAAGAAATAATTCTAAGGGAAAAGTGAAAATGGAGGAAAATAACAACTGTCTGCTTTTCTGGGTATTTGTGATTCCTGCCAGTTGGACACAAAGACAGCTGAGGAGAAAACACACCCCATGCTCTGCAGTGGCCACTGCAACCCTAATTGAATAAAATGTGCTGACAGAAAAAAAAAAAAAAAAAAAAAAAAAGCACACTTTGGTCATGGAGCTGAAACAGAGAAATAGAAAAGTAGGTGCTTTAAAGGGGTTATTTTGTCGTGTGTGTACCCTCCAAATCTCTCTCCCTCCACCAAGCTCTTCAAAAATCAGCACACCTGCTGAATGTCGGGTTTCCTTTTGGAAGCAGAGGAAGGGCATCATATAGCTCAGCCCGTGCTCCAGGCAAAGCCATCTGATTCTCGTTTGAAATGGTATCTCTGGGCTGCTTTTGTTCAGTCACTCATTCTCATGAAAGGTTATAATCAAAAAGCTAGACTTCGGGAAGAATTTGGCTCCTTTCTAGGATACTGATTTCCAAGTGGCATATAAATAAGAGGTCACTTATCCCAAAGAGAGTATTGCTCCATCCTCGGTGCTATGGGAAATGTGCCTTGCATCTCCGTGGCTACATTTGCAGGGGGGGAAACATTGCTGACAGGCTGAGTCAGTGGCCCAAATTCTCCTCCCTTTATACATATAACCACATGAAAGCTGGTGCCTCCCATCCACTGAGTGTGCATAAATAATTTGCTTGGCATGGAACTGGAGCTAGCTAGCACAATAACTATGCTTTTTGTAGGCTCCATATGTCCCTTGCCTTGGAGCTTTTCAAAGATACAAAACTCTAGTTCTGCAACTAAACCAAGAAAATTGTGGGCAATGACTTGAGAAGCACTTGGGAGGGACCCAAAGCTCATGAAAGGACTCTTGGCTTCACTGGATGATGACCAAATCCATAAAGGCCTTGAGAGTTACATTCAGACTCTATGGAGATCCTTGAATAACCCCTGCAGTCTGCAAGGAGATTGATTTTTTTGAACCAACGCAAGGGAGCCCTAATTGCCAAACACTTTAAAAACATTGGGTTTCTTAGCTGTCTTCTCAAACTGTGTTCAAGAAAAGTGTGTGCACATGTATTGCTCATCGTTCTCCAGGCACTGAGTATTTTTGGTGGAGGAAAGTTCAGCAACGGAAGCGTAAACCTTGTGTTTACATCTATGAACAAAATAAGGTACAAATTACTGCAATACGAACTTCCTTGCCCTGGCCCTCCACTGACCTCAGCTATAAACTAAAAGGAAAATCCTTTCCAGACTGGAGTATCTAGGGCAAAGCCTCAAGCAGCAGAAGTGCTTGCAAACTCTGCTGGGTGGACTATTTTGCTGCTGCCACACAAAACCTATGATCCCCAGAGCAAGGGACTTCATTGCTGTGGCATGAGTGCCAGAAGTAATGCGCTGATAGACCTACCCTTGCAGGGGACTCGAGGCACTTTTGGCTGTAATTGGTGGCACGTTTGTGCCTGTTTCCTGAAATCAAGAAATGAGATGCATGTGCTTTGGCTACAAGCTTGGGATAGAGAAGTGCTCGCTTTTCAAGCATTTCAGAAGAAAAATGGGTAACTGACAGCATACATCTATGTCACTGTATCACACACTTGTGTCTTTGTCCTGGTAGCTCGTTGCTGGGTCAAATAAATCGGTTGCAAAATATGTCAGATTCTGCCAAGTGAACACAAACATAATTAGATTAAAAAGCTACTCATGCATTGTCTTGTTTCATTTATTTATTTATTTACTAGGTTTTTAGATGCAAAAAGGAGATAGATCTCTTAATAAGCTGGTTTCTATTGACATAGGGTGGTTTCTGCACATAGGAACCTGATTCTCTGGTAACATGAACAGGTGATTGGTGGCCTGAGAGGGGAGGGCTAGGGCAAGAGAAAAGTTCTGAGGAATGGTACAGAAAAATTGCCTTTAAAAGCTGCAGTCACAGCTCTGACCACTGAAAGGGCTCGCTAATGGCCCCTGGCTGTCCTAGTCCTCCCCTAGGCACACAAATGGCTTCAAAACTATATACTTTTTATCATCAAACTTGTTAATTTGGAATTTCAAAAGGTATACCTGTTTTGTTAAAAACTTCTGGTATCAAAGCACATCAAATGTTAGGGGATTCTGAGGTAGAGCTTTGTAGTGTGATTGCTGCATTTGCACCACGGCAGGTGGTGGTGATGATGATGATTTTCCCCCAGGCCCAGGTGGGACTCAGACCTCTTTTTCCGTAGACTGGCTCTATGGAGAAGCACAACTGCATCGCTCCAGTGGAGTTCACCTAGCAGCAGATCCCTGGAAGAAAGACCTGTGCTGTGGTGAAGAATTTTGCTGTAAGTTTACCACGTTGGAAAATTGCTAACTCTTGGCTCAGGGGGTTATTCTCTGTTTGTAGTATCAGGCAAAAAAAAAAAAAAAAAAAAAAAAAATGGTTATGTAGAAAATGCTACTTGTGTGTGTTATCCAGGGCTACAAAATTATGGTTTTGCTGCTCAGGGCATTAAATAATTCACAGAAACAGAGACAATAAGCACGGTTTTGTTTTAATGAGCCTAATGCTCATGCTGCACATCGCTTCTCTGCAGGGTGTCCTTTTTCTCTTGTGGAGCTGGGTTTAATCATGGGTGTCAGGAGATGTGAGCATGGTTCACAGGGTAAGATGCATCTAGTGGTCTTGGCCAAGGGCCATCATCTCCCTGCACTGATGCTGCACAAGTACAAACAACCACTTCATTGGTAGATGAAGAGGCACCGACTTGGACAATTCCCAGTTGTGAGCACGGGTAGATAGAGCCCAATCTATGCCCGTTTGTTCTTGGGTCAGTAAGAACTCTAATTCTTCCCTAAGTCTGTCGACTGTACTGCTTAGTCCTCCAGATGTTCTTAAGGAAGGTAATCCTGTTTCAACTCGTCCTCTTTTGCAACCAAAAGACAAAATAAGCTTGGTTTAGAAGTCTTGGCAATGTTGAGGACTATCCATGTTTTTCTGTGTGCTTAGAGGTGACAAAACTAGCTGCTTATTTCAGTGAATGAGAACAGATAAAAGGAAATACTTCACTGTATTCCCTTCAACAAACAATTCATGAGTGAAAGAAAGCACTGTGGGCCTTATTTGGGAAGAAAACTGATTAATAATAGTCTACGTGTATCAATCTGCTCCCTATAAAGAATCATGCTAGCTGTCCTCCTTCCAGGGAAAGAGCAGACCAGAAGAAAAACAGTCTGTGTGTAAGTGCCGTTCACTTTAGAGGCTGTCGTTTTGAGTAATTAAAACTGATGATCCTGACAAACATTTGCTTCCAAAGAATAGTCTGTTACAAACGTAAACTCTCAAGGTCCTTCTAGGCAAACCAGCTCAGCTCTCTCCTAGAAATCATTCTCAACGCGTCTGGTGTCCTGCCTTTGTAGCCAAGCCATGCAATAGATTTAAAAGAAGATTGTTTCTAACAAGTTTTAGCTGCACTGCTGCAGATCCTCTTGAAAATAACAACAGCTAACACTGAAACCACCAGCCTTGTCTACATGAACGCTCCACTTCTGAGAGGATCCAAAATGCCCAGTTGTGGTTCTTTGGGGAGATCCGAGTTTTAAGTGGTTTGTGAAGGGACAGAAGGAGTTACAGCTGCGAGATGGAGAGACTTGTTGCTTCCAGACAGGGATTTATGCTCCATTAATTCCGTCGATGGCAGCCTGGGCCGAGTGGCACGACGTGAATGTGATTACGTAGGATGTGGCCAGTGCCCTTCATCTGTGCAACTCTCCATGCACCTGCCAGAGGGTTTGGTCATAGTGAACCTTTGCCACCAAAAGAAAGGTGTTTAGTAAATGAGAAGGCAGGAAGACATGGAGTAGAGATGGGCGATGAAAACAACTGGAATGGAGAGGACAACTCCGCTTTAGCTCTGCAGATCATCCAGAGTTTGCATGTCCTTGGTTGTATCCTGCTCATTCTGAACCTGTTCCTTAACATCTTGTCTAAACTCCAACCTCTGAATTCCTCTTGTGAGTGTCCATTTTGGTTGCACAAGCTTGACCTGGAAGTTAAATTACAAAGCTGAAATTTTGGACACTTAAGAACACAGCAAAGATGCAGGTGCAGATCTGCAGCTCCTGTGTCCGCTGCGCCCAGGCTGCACAAGAACATCCGTCATGAGAAACAAGCAGCTCCTTGCAGATGGTACATCTGAAGAGAGCGCATGCTTACCCCTCACTCACCCAGGACAAATATGACATAGTTGGGGAGAGACCAAATCCCTCTTTAGATTTGCATCACATGTTTATATGCCGCATTCCCCCTGCCTAAGCATCCCCGATCCATTCCTTGCCAATGCTGCCTTCGGAGGAAATGAAGAAATTGGATGCAAGTGCAGAAAGGCTGTGTGGGAGGAGAGATCTTCCCTAGCGTGCCCTAAAGTCAGCATGTTAGAGACTTGCTGAAAGCAGCATCTTCACCATCGTATTTGAGCTGCTTGGCTGTCTGATTCCCTTCGTGTCTAGGGAAGGAATCATGCCTCACTGCTTTGCTCTGGGTTAGATTTTTTGTCGTTATTAAGTGATACCAGTAGCTGTACAGTGTGATGGAACTGCCATGAGGTTATTACCTCCTTCCTTCCCTCTCCCAGGCAAGCTGAGGCCTCAGCTACCTGGGCAGAGTTTTAAAATGTGCTGGTTTGCTCTGATGAACCTTGGGGAGCAGAGACGTCGTTTATAATTAGAGAGAGAGCTTGGTTTTCAAGCTATTGCATCCTGGTAATGAAATGCCACTTACATGCCTGTCAAGTGGACATTAATAAGCATGATGTGATGCTGTGTAAAATACCTCCCATATAAATCAGGACAGATGTCTTGATTCTGCACTTCATCAAGTCAGTGGAAGCTTTGTGCAGGAATTTTTGACAGAAATGGTATTAGGTCTAAAACATTGCCTAGTTTTAGCTATTTTGGGCAATTTTTGGATTTATTTCCAACTGCTGTAGACTTTCTGCCACTACACAAACGCTACACCACCGTCACAGAGATCCCCTCCTGGGAGATATCTCTTCTTTTACCCGGCTGCTCTGTGATCTCCATAGTGAAATCAAACAGTTCAAGGCAAAAGTATTGGGTATATATAAAGATGCCTAGCTTTTTTCCTGCTCTAGTAGAAGTTTATATTTTATCTCTCAGGCAATCTACCATTTAGAGAAAGAATGAAAAGAGAAAGAATGAAAACAATCTTCCTGAAGTAGAGTTTTACAGTTTAATGATCCTTGAGCTGCCATACCACTCCATGCATGTAGCCTACATGCAGACTTGGGTGGGAGGCTGGAAATGGTGACGGGGTCAGAGCTCCACAACTCCTTGTCCTTCACCAAATTAGCCATCTCACTTTCCTCTCTGTAAGCTGATGCTGATACATTGCAGAGTTGTTTTGATAATTGGTTTATTTGAATAAAAGTACATGGCCCAAGGGGTAAAATTTTCTGTACCTGCAAAACTTCCAACATTCCCCATTTGCTTTCTGGTGTGGGATTACAGAACATCTGTTCTGTTTAGTCCTCTAAATGTTACTGTTAACGATTTGGCAAAGGCACCTGGAACTTAACACAGACGCACAAGTACGTAATATCAAAAGTTTAAAGGAGTGTATTGATTTACAGCGTGACAAATGCAAAAGATAAACCAACAAAATGTCTAGCTTGATGGCTTAATTTGCACAAAAATGGGAAGAAGACCCAGAATTAAGCGTTCCTCAGCCACCTCAGGTCCCGCTGCAGATCACTTCTGTAAGCTGAGGGGTAGGGGATGGGTTCTGCACGTGCTCGTCCAGCCAAAGGATGGGTGCAACTTGCAGGCACACTACGCTGACTGGAGCATGCATTTTCCGTGAGGCAGATGAGAGATGTAAGCAGCAGAAGGAGTATGCCAACAGCCTGCTGCAACCCTGGGAGTTGGGGAAGGGCTGAAAGGAATCCTTACGTCCATCCCAACTGACCCGCTAGCCTGGGAAGTCCTATGAGTTTGCTGCAGCTACGTGGGCTTTGCACTTCCAAGTCCTTAGTTTCCCCTTGTGAAGCTATTTCCAGACTCAAAGTTGTTCCTAAGGCAAAAGAAGGGCTAGTTTGCAGGCAAGGGGAGCAAGACAAGGGACTTGTTTTCTTTTCCTTCTTCACTTTTTGGTCCCAAATGCAGGTTCCCTACGCAGGCAAGCAGCAGGTCCCTGTAAGGACAGGCTTGTACCTATGTTTTCCCTGCACATATATTACAACTGTGCAGAGGGCTGACTCCCACAGGGGACACAATTCCTGCTGGAGAGCAGTGCGGGAAGCAAGCCTACTTGATCAGCCTGACTCTGCAGCAAGCTGAAAGGCATCCATGGTTTTTAGCCTGCATGACCTCTGACAAGTTGCTTCAAAATAAAATCCTCAGAGCAACAGGATGAGACCAAGAGTTGAATCCTGCCCTTGCTTTGCATCTTTGAGACTTCATTTAACACCTCCTCCTGCCTGTGTAAAGTGATGTGAATCTGACAAAAGCAAGCTGCAGTTGTAGTGATAAAAGTGCTGTGCTGGCATTGCTGTGAAATGCAGGTATGACTTCCCAGCCCTCTGCATTTGTTCAGATGAAACCCCAGAATGACCATGGAGTTCAGCCCTACCTTGGTAGCCCAGGATGGGCTAGTTGCTCCTCACACAGAGCCTGACTTATGGGCAAGGGAGAGAGGCAAGAACAGAGAAAGCAGAGGCTTAAGTGGCTATGGTAGAGAAGTTAAACTACACATTTAAATGCTTTTAACTATGATCAAAAGAGCTTGTTTGGCATGGAAAAGGAGAGAAGTTTGCAAATGAGTACAAGAGCCTCCTCCATTCAGAGAAAAGAAGCACCAGAGCAGCCTGTCTGCTGGACACAGAGGCAGAGAAGCAAGAGAGGTTGAGATCCAGCCAGCAACCAGCTGGCCGTGCACAGGGAATGAAATCTTTCACTTTCCAAGATTAGACGCGAGCATGAAAATGTTTGCTGCCTTCGGTTATCTTGTGGCGTTGGCAAGCGAGCATCAAAGGGAAATGCTCTGTCTCCCGGGATAGTCGCTGGGCAAGCAAAGGGATGTGGCAGATAAAGGAAGAGGATGCTTACACAGAGCAGCAGAGAGCAAAGATTAGCCACCGAGGTGCATGCTCACCTACAGGAGAAAGGAAATGGGAAGGAGGGTGAAAAGTAATGAGAAAAGAAGAAAAAAAGGCAGAAAAGTTGATTCCCTTGAGTATTTTCTTGCAGCAATGCGTCCCGTCTGCAACTCCATCCTGAAGTTTTGCTGTTGTGATCAAGTTCTTGTCTTGCAGTTTACAGAAGAGCTTCTCACCAATCACCTTCTGTAGCATTTATATAGGCAAAATTCCCAGGGTTTCAAGGGGATTTTTCCATGGGGAGGTACGGGCTCGTAGGGGTTACTTTTGACTGGGTGAGGACTTTGGAGTCTGCACAGTTACCATACCGTAAGTATTAATAGATCCTTTCTAATAGGAAAGTTATTTGAATTTAAGATTTCTGCTTAGTTTCTCTAAGCTCTACATAATCTACTTACTTACGCTACAGTTTTCCTTCTCCACTTCTCACTCTCCAGCTGTAAAGGATCAAAATGCTGCACATTGTACAACTTTTCTGCATATCATTAGAGTAGCATTCTAAATAGGTAACACCACGCTTCTGGAAGGACTGGAGATGTTTTCTCACTCTTCTAAAGCCCGTCTTTTGTCTCGGGAACACTTCAGTCCACTCCCTGCTCTGTCCCTAAATCAGGACCTTATTAGCCCTTCTATGGGTCATCTCCCCACTTCTAAAGTGAGGACAATTCATTTTGGAATGTTTTCCTACCCTCCTGGTAGTACGTGCAGAGATTTCAGATCAGAGGGTGTCCCATGAGGATGCTTATCGAGCTCACCGGGGCTGAAAAGGGAAAGGACTAACTCGCAGCTGTGGGACGCCGCTTCTCACCCCACACAGGTCTTGAGCTTGTGTGACCCCCACCCCAGGAGCCAAATTAACTTGTTAATGGCAGGAAACTAACTGAGGGGGAAAAAAAAGAGAGAATTTGCTATCTTCTTTTCTGTACCACCAAGCTGAATGGCACCAAGCTGAATGGAAGCAAGGAGGCTCCCAGGGGCACCAGACACGGTGCAAGGGATGCCAGGCTGGGACTGGCAGGCAGAGGGTCAGGAGCCAGCCTGGAGCTCAGCTACCTAACTCCTCTGCTGCCCTAGCTACGATGGTCTCAGCGAGGCACTGCTGGAGACCTTTCCTGCTCACCTCTGTGCTCGGAGGATGAGGAGATGTGTAAGGCTTCATGCTCTTCTGCCAGCTTCCTACAGGCCCAGCTTCCCGTACACCTCTTCCCCTCCTGTCTGACTCAGCTCCAATGCTATGCTCAGCTCTTCTCTTTCTTTCCTCAGGCAACTCCGTGTGCTTCTCTTCACTCCCATTGAATGCTTTGCTGACCTGCATCTCCATGTTGCTCAACACCCCACGAGGCTGCACGGGCTCTCCCTGGCGCTCTGGAGTACAATGTCTATCCCACCTGAGCGGAGGGGACTCTATCCCCAACTGAACTGTGCTGGAGTCCTTGCCCCACGGAAGTTTTGGGAGCGCATGGGGAAATGATGGGAAAACTGAAAGATTTTTCACCGCTGCAGTAAATGTGCTCCCATCAGCCCAGTGCAGCAGCATCAAGACTTGGGGAGTAGATGTGATTCCCACGATTAACCAAGTCATTTATTTGATGATGAGACAGAGAAGACCCTCAAGAACAGAACCCAAGCAAGGAAACAACCCTGGAGGGAGGGAAGTGTCAGCTGCCTGGTTTTAAGGTTTCTCTTTCTGTTTACCCAGCAACCCAAGGCTTGCTCAGGTGGGGACCCTCCACTCTTTCACAATCAAGAGCTGAGAAGGGTCACGTAAGCCAGAGAATTACAAGGCAGCCCCAGCTCGCTCTTCAGATTGAAGTGGTTTTAGAATAATTTGGTCTTGCTCCTAGTCTAAGGTTTCATTTTTTAATGCATGTGCCTGAGCAAGCAGCTAGCTGTTAGGACACGGAGATGCTGCTGCATGGGTCTTCTGCAGCACAAAAAGTAGATGTGGTGCAGGTTTGCTGATACACAGGTGAGTGCATGCAGAGGCACTGAAAACTGGACCTCTGGTGAAACCCAACGCATTGGGTGAGACAACTCAAGTATGGATGTGGTCTGGCTTTGTTGATCCACTGAAGCCAAAATAGGTGGGTTATCTCACTATAAGCATCCCAGACTTCAATATAGGCATGATGCCACCGAGCCAGGAGATGATGTGACACTATACTGGGCCCAGAGGATATGCTGGTTTGGGTCTACTACACCTCAGAGACTCCGGCTCAACACTCAGTGGGATGAAACTGGGCTCCGCCTACAAGCCCCACAGAGCCAGCACCAGAATCAAAGATACATGGCTTTGCATGTGGTAGTTGAATTATTTTGACTTTTATATTCACTGTACACGATTAATAATCTATTACTAAAGACTGAGGTTTGTGGCTTGCAGGGCTCTAGCAGTTAGTTGGTTTAGAAGACCCAGGAGGTGCTATTTTGTGCAGAAGTAGCAGGACCCTGCAGGTTGCCAGCACAATTTCATGTCCACATAAAATATTCAGGTGAACTCCAAACTGATTATTCTAAAGCCTTTCTTCTCATAAGAAAATGATGCTATTTCTTTTGTTTGTTTTAAAGAGAGGTATTATAGAAGTCTGGGATTTTCTATGGAAGTGCAACTTCAACTTGCAACCAGTTTCAGTTACTTCCCATTTGCTACAAGCTTTAAATTTCAGAGCATCTCTTCCCATTTGGGGGGGAAGCAGGTAACGTTAGAGAATGTCTTGCATTTTTATACAAAATTTCCAAACAGTAAAAAGAAAAATCTTTCATAAGGAAATGATTTCCACCCCCCTTGCCTCTAGGTGCCTGAAACTGCAAGATATAACCCTCAACAAAGTTGTTTTAAGTGCTTCACACTCTAGAGCCACACAAGGATTCTTCAAATGCTTATACACTTAATAAACTACTTTCTTCAAAGCTCTTTAAAGAGAGGAACAAAAAGGAACAATTATATAAGAAGTGCTTTCTGCTCTCCTTTTGGCTGGTCCCAGAGCGGTTCCTCTGCGGCCCGGGGGGCTGCCGGGCTGGGCCGCGGTCCGTGCGCCCCTTGCAGCGGGGCAAAGCCGGGGCCCCGCCGGCCGCCGCGGCTAGGGCTTTTCTTGGCTGAAACCTGCGATTCCAGCGTTCCTTGGGAATGAAAGAAAGTGACATGCTGGAAGCGGAGTTGGGGGAGGAGGAGGAGGAAGAAGGGCGGGCTTTTTTTTTTTTTTTTTTTTTTTTCTCTTCTCTCTCCCCTGCTTGATCTATGGAGCCCGCCCCCTTAAATTGGCTCCCGGGAGCGTCCCGTCCACCAGCCCGACGGGGGGAGCGGCGCAAAGCGAGGGAGAGCAGGCGGGCGGGCGGGCGGTTCTCCCGTCCTGGCCCGTGGGTCCCGGCCCGGCGCGCACCATGCGCGGCCCGCGGCGCGGCCGGCCCGCGCGGCCCTGACCCGCGCGGCTCCTGCGCCTTCCCCCCGGTAGCTCCCCGCGGAGGAGGGGAGAAACGGGGCGACCGGAGAGGAGAAGGGGAAGAAAAGGGGGGAAATACGAGGAGAAGCCGGGGGAAGGCGACTCTGCTCTGCGGGCGGCGCGCAGCACCATGCAGCTGGCGCCGCTGGCGCTGGCACTGAGCACGCTCTTCATCGACGGCTTGCGGGCAGGCAGCCGGCGGCACAAGCTGCACCCCCGGCAAGGTAAGGGGGCCGGGGGGGCGGCGAGGCCGCGGCTCGCCCGCCTGCCCGCCCTCCTGCCGCTCAGGGGGCACATGCCTCTCTCCCCTCCTAGCCAAGTTGCTGGAGAAGCTCAGCGAGTACGAGATCGTGACTCCTACCCGGGTGAATGAATTTGGCGAGCCCTTGCCCACCGATGTCCACTTCAGGAGGAGGCGGCGGAGCGCCGGCGCGGGCCCCGACGCCTGGACGGCGGCCACCGCCGCCTCCTCCTCCTCATCCTCCAAGGCGCACTACCGGCTCTCCGCCTTCGGCCAGCAGTTCCTCTTCAACCTGACGGCCAGCGCGACCTTCATCGCCCCCCTCTTCACCGTGAGCCTCCTGGGCGAGCCCGGCGCCGAGCAGCGGCGGCTGTACGCGGAGGCGGCGGACACCGACGTGAAGCACTGCTTCTACCGCGGGCACGTCAACGCCCGCCCGCGCCACACGGCCGTTATCAGCCTCTGCTCCGGGATGGTGAGACCCACGGGCGGCACCGGGCCCGGCACCGGTTCGGCTCGGCCCGGCCCGGCCCAGCGGCGGCGCGCCGGGGCGGAAGCGAGGAGGAGGAGCAGCAGGGCGAGGGTGGGCAGGGGGCCGGGGCCGGCCCCTTCCCCCAGGGCGCAGCGGGTCGGGCCGGGCCGGGCCGGGCCGGCTCTTTCCCCGCCCCTTCCCGCTGGGACGAGCCCGTCGGGCTGCGGCATCGGAGGAGCCCCGGGCCGCTCGGGGCGAAGCCGCCACCCAGCGGCACCCCCAGCCGGGCAGGTGGCCACGAGAGGCCCCCCCTTCCCGTCCCCCCCTCGCACCCCAGGGGGCTGCTGAAGTCTGGGAGGGGGCGATGCAACCCCTGAGGCTATCCGTCGCCCTGGTGCCTTGTGCTCCAGGAGTGCTGGCAATGTCTGAACAAGGTGAGAACAAGCTCTCCGGGGCTGGCCCCAAACCTTTCTGATGGCCCGTGAGAATGGCATGAGTGGGAAAAATGCTAGCCATGCTGGCCTCAGCCCTTCCAGCCAACCCCAGGGATGTAGGAAGGTGTGTCTGTGGGCTCCCCAGCAGTGCCCATCCTATGGTGGTCCTGTCTGTGTGTTGCACCCAAAGCTCTAAGTGCTCCCCTTGGCAAGTGTGGTCGTGCCATCCCTCAACCCTTCTGCATGTGCTCAGGCTGAGCCAGGCTGCCATGCACACGTGTGGCAGCACAGGCCTTCTTTCCAGCAGTGTGGTCTGGTTGGAGTCTGGTCCTCAGTCTAGGAACCATAGGAATGCCCTTAGGAATGGGGTCTGGCTGGTGTCCTCCTCTCATTCTCCCAGTAACTCACTTTATGTGCATTCCCATGGGCACAGCACTGCCCACGCGGGTGCTGCGGTGCCTTTGCAGGGGCTGGGCACTGGGAGGAAGCTTGGGAAAGCTGCGCGCCTCCACTGGGAACACCCCTGTTTTGGGTAGTCCTGCTGCCTCAGTTGTCGTCACCCGAAGCTGACCGCCTGCCTGTCTCTGTTGCCTTGCAGCTAGGCACGTTCAGGTCTCACGATGGAGACTATTTTGTAGAGCCGCTGCTATCACTTGAAGACCAGGAGTATGAAGAAGAGCACAACAAGCCACATCTAGTCTACAGACACCGAACACCTCACACCAACTCTTCACGGGACAGGCAGACTTGTGATACTCCAGGTAATTGTTTTTCTTACTTCCCTTAATGATTTGGCACTTAAAAGGGAGCGAATTTGTAGGGAGGTGTCACTAGGTTCACTGGAGGCAAAAGCAAGCAGGGATGTGATGTTGAGGGACTCCTAGACATGGTAGCATGTGTGTTAGGACCAGGCTCTTGATGGTACTGTTGTCTTGGTGAGAGATCTTGGTGAGAGATGTGGTGTGCCTTTGCTTGCCAATAGCCACTTCCAAGGAAACTGCATTCAGGAAAAATGTTCATTTCATCCCACAGACTGGTGAAAAGTCCTTTGGACTCTTTACTCTCGAAAAGCTCATGAGTCCTCACATTCGCTCTCTGTCTTCTCCTAATCATAATTTTGCAATATCCTAATTTGATTTGCCCTTTGTCTGAAACTCTGTCATCTTGATGGCATTGGATGTCTTGGCCTTTCTGTACCTCCAGTCCTTCCTCCCCAAAGCTGACGAAGAGTTGCAATGGCTTGTTTCTTTCTAAGGCAAATAAGAAGGTACTAACACCAACCCTGACAGCTCTCCCCCTTTTAATCACTTTCCAGAGTTCATTTTCAAGAGCTTTTTTTTTTTCCTCTGTGACCCTCCTTCCACTAGTGCTGTCTCCGTGACCTCTTCGCTCCCTATCCAAGTCCTTGCACATATGAAAGAGCTTGAGCCTTTTTATCTCCCCTTCCCATGTCTCAATGAGCAATAGCCCTGCTCCTAGTGCCCCTGTTATCTGAAGTGGCCTCCTGCTGCTCTCTGCTTAGTTGACCTCCTGATTTTTCACAATTAATCCTCTCCTTTGGCAGCAAATACCCAAGTTCTCTCTCTTAGGTCTCCAGTTTCACCTGCTGTTCCACCTTCCTCTTTTGGCCTGCAGCTAGATCTACAGGAACTTAAACAAAAATATCCTTAAACAGAGTAGATCCTGATGGGCTTCCTTTGCGTGGGCTGAGAGCCACCGTTGTGCTGCAAGCAGGTGGAGTGACTGAGGAAGCAAAGGTGTCATTGAGGAGAAGCAAAGGTGTCATTGAGGAGAAGCACAGTGCAAACTGCAGGCTACGTTTAGCACGTGTGGCTCATTCGGCACCCGTGGCCGTGGATCACGGCTGTGCTGCAGAGCCATCCGTCTGTTCAGTTTGCAATGACGTGATGTACTAAGTCAGAAGATGCTCTGATGCTCTGTGCGCAGCCAGAGCAAACACACTAGTGATGCGTGTTTTTTCTCCTCGAAGATGTGTGGACGCATGTCCATACGCAAATGTGCGTACTGGAGGCCAAGGAGCCTCTCACCAGGCTGTCATTGTTTGCTCTTCCAAGGGTTGCTGCTGGACTATGCCATTCTGGTTTCTCTCTTCCAGCTGTTTCTGCTCCCTTTGAGATCAGATGCAGGAGACTCAGAACAGTTGGAAAGAAACACGGAATCTGGCACATTTCATCAGTAGCCCTTGGAGGAACGGAGCAGCAGATCACGGGACCCATTGAATCCAAGGTAGCTGGGAGGGCTCTGACGATCAGCTGTGGACTTTGCACTGTGCAGTTATAACAGCCCCTTGTGTTTCACCCTGTTCTGTGTATCAGAGTGTCCATTTAGGGTCCTATTCTTCATGATTCACAACAATATTACTCTGTCCACTGTACTTCCCACGCTATGTATATCTCCTCTTTTCCAACAAACAGCGCCTCTTGATTGTCTTTAGTGTTTCCTTTTTCTTCTCAGTTGCCTCTCGTGTAGATGAGGTACTTAGGGACATGGTTTACCAGGCATGGTAGTGATGGGTTTACAGTTGGACTTGATGGTCTTGAAGGTCTTTTCCAACCGTTATGATTCTATGTGTTGAAGAGAAGAGGTCTAGCCTCTTGAATAAGGGTTTAAGCATTCCAAGTAGTCTTATTTGTCCTCCATTGCCTGAATATACACCTCTTTTCCAGTTGTTGATGGGGAATACTGCCTGGGTGTGCATGCTTGTGAGTGAGGTTTGGTCACCTCATTTAGGGAGGAGGTACAGGGGACCTTGGGGAAAAGCTGAAGGTTACCTTCTCCCCTCCTGGTCGTGACTGGTAGAAAGAACAGACTTTGTGGCTTTGGATCATAGGGGAAAACAAAAAAAAAATCTAGCAAAGCTTGTTGTTTTGGACAGGCCACATCTGTTATTTTTGCCTGAGAAGAAGGGATTGTTTCGTGAGAATTTGGGAGTTTTAGTCATAGGGTGTTGTGTGGATCCAGCTTTTTGTCCCAACAACGTGTGAAAAGGTGTTGTTCCATTGTGAGTTCCTGGCAAGAGGCAACATTGGCTCCAAGTGGCAATTCAAAGCTCGGGAAGTCTCCAGTACCCACCCTGCAGTGAGCAGGGCAGGGAGAGCTCGTTGCAGGCACTGGTGCTATGGAGAATGTCTTTCTGATAGCCTTCTTCCTGGAAGTGATTAATAAACAACAGTGGTGTTTCCTTACCACAATGACGTAATCCCAGGCTTCTTGAGTTTCCCTTGTGAATTAACTGGTAGATCCAGTAAAAGTTCTCATTTCCAGTGGCCTCTCTTGTTATTTTTAGTTTTCACCTTTAGTAGGTCAGCTTGGAAAAAATAGTCATCCTTTTGACTCGAGTTAAGTTTTAATTAGCAGTTTCTGATAACTGTGTTTTGATGTGCTGATATACGAGAGGTTCTGCAGATGTTCTGGAAAAAAAATCTTTCTCCTCTTGAGTGCTGATGGATATTGAATGCAAGCTGTGCTCTGCACATAAGCTTTTATAGCCTAACACAAAGGTCTCCTGGCAGTGTGCTTCAGCCTTCTGGTATATAGCTCAACAGTGGTAATAAAACCCTTTAACAAAGTTTTCCTTGGGGTAAGGGGTAATGTAGTTTCAGTCATAGGAAATGGTGCAATTTCTCCTCTTTCCCTTTTTCTCGTTACTACCGTGAATCAATTTGTCATCTGGCCTCGCTGAGGAACCTGGCAGAATAATTAGTTGCGTTTGACTGAATAGCACTGACAGGATGAGGACTTGGCTGGGCCAGCTGCGTGATGTCATTAGGTGCCGTGCTGCTACCACCCATTGCTTCGAGATAGCAAGCTCTTCCGATGCAAATTATTAATATCCGCTTTTTTGAGGTGGAGGAGGAAGAGAAAAGAAATTCTGGTCCTAAAAAAGGAAAAAAAAGGAAGTTGCTCATTGCAGGGCCCGAGAATTGAGTTTTCCTGAGCTCTGCAGAGGAACAACCTGAATCCGATGATAAAGAGAGCAGAAGCGCATCTTGCAGTGGGATGGACGGCTCTGCCCTCTGCTCTGCTCTGGCCTGTCCCTAAGGGAAGATCAGCAGAAGCGGCTCTCTTGTCCAACTTGACCTGCTGCCAAGAGCAGGGCTGGCAAGACCAACCCATCGCTTTCTACTTGAAACCCCTAAGTTTTGGCCTTACAAGGAGACATCCCCCCTCCAGCTGCAAACAGGAAGCTGCCCCCAATTGTCATCTAATCAAAGCACTTCAGGCCACCTCTTATTCCGTTCCTTAAAGCTTCCTGTCCCCGGGTTGCATGTTTGTTGTTTTGCCTGTCCATCTCCAGTCTTCAAACCAGGTCCTTGACTGTTCTTGTGTCTCCATGTTTTTATTTGTGACCCGTCTCTGTCATTGAAGTGTTTTTTCTCGAGTGATTGATGGTTTCACTCGAGTGTGTTGGACTTGGGGGAACCCACCTGTTCATAAACCATCTTGGTCCTGTAACAGGTCCTGAACAGCCTTCAGTTCTGGTCTTTTTTTGTTCTATTTGCTGTATTTTTTTTTTCTTTTAAATATCGTGGTTTGGTTTGCTTTGTTTTTTTTTCCTTGTGTCCTTTTGCTACCTCTTCTGCCCCCATCCCCCATGTTTCTGTTGCTTCTCTGCGTTATTGCACTCAGTGTTTACACATAGACTTTTGTCTTTTGCTTCTCTTGAGCCCTTCTGTTCTTGTGTTTTGGGGTTTTCTTAACAGCTTTAACCTGTTGCAAAACTTTAGAGGGTAATTCTGCCTGTTGTCCATCTCTTGCTCTGAGACAGCCCACTGACTGCAAGTGCCCTGTGGCAATGGGTGCAAATACAGGAGTTGGGCATTCCAGTCTTCCCGCCTCTCTGGTTTTGCTGTGTGCTCAGCTATTTTACTACTCCAAACTTTGCAAATTCCTGTAGCTTTGACTGTGTCCCTCTTCCAGGATTACTGAATGCGCTCTTTTGGACTGCTTTTCTTTTGTTCCCACTGTGTTCTCATTCCTTTTCTCTTGATTTGTGCTTTCTCTGTTTTGCTTTGCTTTTCTTCCAGCTTCATTAGTTAAATTCCTCCCTGTTTCCTCCAGCCTCCAATGCTGCTTTTGTCTCATTTTCCATAGTTCTTTTTCCTGCTTGGGACCCTGAGACAAATAAATTGAGGGGGGACATATGTATATGTGTATGTATGTGTGTCTGTGTATAAATATATATATGTATATATGTGTGTGTGTGTATAAAAAAATATATACCTATATGAAGCCAGCAGTTACCGTGTCTCGGTGCACATAAGCCATACCTGTTCTGGTGCTCATCTCAGACGGGGCTTTTGGGGCTGAATTTGAGAATCTTGCTCAAGGGCATGGCTCCCTAATGAAGGTACTTAAAGGAGGACTATCCACCACAGGCAAATCTGCTCATGCAGAAGCAGCAAAAACACTCTGATGGTGCCAAACTAGTAGGAAGATGATTAGAGCTTTTTCCATTTGTTGGAGGCAAGCCAGAGGGTTGTAGCCAGCAAAGAGGCCTTCCAGCAGTTTCCCCTGCGGTGGGAGCAGTTGTTGAGCCACTCTTTGCTCTGAGCAGGATGGAGCAGATCTTACCTGCACCTTGCCCAGACATTTGGGGAGATGGGAGAGCTGGTGACTTGTCTGTGGACGTTGCTTTCCAAGGACAGCCAAGCTCTATCTATGAAAGCGGCTGTTGGACGTGGCTTCCACAGTTGGATTTCCAGGATCTGCTAGAAACCAGCACCAAAAAAAAGTCTCT